ATTGCATGTTACGTTAATTCTGTGTCAATATAAATTCATTTATAATTTCTATGAGATACGATTTAAGGTATGAAATTATTTGGTTTATTAAGCATTATTAAAATACTCCAAAAGTCTACTGATTTTATTGAAATCTCTTCTGTTTGAATTAAAAACGAATGAATTATCGATATAATAAAGCATTACAATAATGCAACATGCGAATAATTGGAACTTTCGAATATTAAGATCATCGGATATTGGAAGTTCCACCGTATTTATGTATTCCTATATAGAACATTTGTTTACGTGACAAATTTATTATTGACAAGGATATGAATAAAAAGAAAAGAAAAAAAAAAAGAACCGATGCACGCATTGCAAATAATAAAAGAAACATTCGTTGCGTAAATAACGGTATTTTATGCATATACGCATACGTACATATATTGCATACATATCAATACAACATGCCCCGCCCCGTTTTTCTTCTCATAACGAAAAATCGGTATATCTATGAAAGAACGTGCCGACGAAGGTTCCGCTGTGTGTTGATATCACGTTAAAGTATACGAGAGAACTATGATTAATCGTTCGAGAACGATTATCGGTAACTACGATCGCAACGATAATTAATTTTTCCTTACGAATTAATTCATTCTTATTAGAGTATTCTAATAAACTCGTACGAACATTTATCTCAAATAATAATAAAAAAAAAGAAAAAAAAAGAAAAAATATTAAAAATGACGACGACTGGTTAAGCATTAACAATTCGCCGCGTTCAATTATACAAACCGGTTGGTTTCCAACTTACGCTTAACTCACGACTACTCTTAACTATGATAAGCTCATTGATAATGAACGATTAAAATTTCATTACATTTGCCAGTTGATATTTCTTACGATATTATTAAATGTATTTTAATAAGGTAAAGAAAATTTCCAAATGTTTTCTTTTTCCTCCCTTTTGTAATCGTTAAATCTCTAAAGACGGCCATCTCTCATCTCGTTTAAAATTATTGACGCAAAACAAATCTTTACGTGACAAATATTATTGAAATTTATCGATATACGATATCGTTTAACTTTCTTCTTTAATTAAAATCGAATTACGTAATATCACTTACTATTAATTGGAGTCCAAGGTCAAAGTAAAGAATAAATCATTATCATAAAATTATAATGATCGATAAAGAATGAATAAAGTATCACTTGCATCGGTTAACCTCGATCAATTTATAAATATTACAATAGATCTCGAACACAATATAATACAAGTTATACCTCTTTCTCTCTCTCTCTCTCTTTTGTCATCATAACAAAAGCAAATCTCTCGTCACGTCCGTTCGTTATCTTCGAAGGAATCATAAACAAAAGGACAATAATGAGCACGCTTCGAAGATAGAAATCGTGACATAAAACGTTTTATAATAACGAGCTTAAATTATGCGACAAGAACGGACAACGATAATCAAGACGAGTAGCCAGCGACCTTTCGCAACATCTATGTAAGTAAGTAAGTAAGTAAGTAAATTCACTCGATCGTACAACACCGTCATTCAGATATACATATATGTATTATGTTTACTTTACCGAGAATGTATGCGAATAAACATTGCGTCGTTTAACTTGACTTTAGACGTAAGAAATGGGAGAAAGAGTGGAAGAAAGAGAGAAAGAGAGAAAGAGAGAAAAAGAGAGATAAAGAAAATGTGCATTACATCTATTTACATATATATATATATATACTAGCTTCCATTTCTTGGAATTCGGTAGATCGAATAAACATAAACGTTTCATTTACTATCCAATCCTGTCCAATAATTTACAATATTCTAACGTAAATTATCTAATAAACAAGTTTTCAATTTGCATAATACTACAACAGAATTTATTAACGATCTTTCGTCATATTTTATCGTTTTGTGTATTATTCTTGTATGTGTGTGTGTTATGTTTTGTTGATCATGTGACGAAAGTAATGAGTTTTAAATTTAATCTACATTTCAATGAAATATACGGAAGAACGATGATTTATTTCTTAACATTTGAACGTGGACACAAATGGCTGCCCAAGGTAATCGAATTTATTATTGAAAATAAAGAAAATACGTAACATAGAGTAGAGCGTGGAATGCATCTTGCTTGTAAACGTCTTTGGAAAAACAATTCCGGAACGCCGCGGGACGTATTTTTGCTGCGATCTAACGTTCCCTAGACACCTGTGAGAACACAGAGTCCATGGTTTTCTTGCACACGAGTTTATATATATTTCTCTCTCTCTCTCTCTCTCTCTTTCTTATTTTCTTTGTTAGTAGAGAGAAAGAAATCGACTGGCATATCGACGACGTGACAAGTTCACTAAACTCAGCAATGTTGTTCGCCACTGTATGGCAATTTCGTTTACGAGTTTTATCCAAGAAAAAAAAAAAAAGAAACCAACTCGATCTCACGATCTGAAGTGAAGATGATGAAGATTAATGATTTGTTGCATCTATACGCGCGTGTCACGAGAAATCATTTTTGAAAGGATTTTCGTTTGAATACAAATTCGGTGCAAGTAATAAAGAATAAACACCAAAAAAAAGGAACATATCGTTTATGTATCCGGAAAAAATCATTATTACTACGTTTTTTCGTATAAAATGATTTATATATTTTACGTTGATCACAATTTTATAAACAATCCAATTTATTACCTATTATTTTATTTAACAAAAAACCATCAATAGCAGTAGCGTCTGAATGTATTAACAAAAAGGATACTTTAACGAAACCTGATTTTTCCAGTTAAATTATAGTTAATTTAATTCGACAAGCAATAATTCATATTAACATAAATGTTAGTTAATGACTTTTTCCTGAACGTAAACGATACATCAACAATTTTAATATATTCGAAGCTCATTGTAAGACAGAAAAAAGAAACAATAAGTCTCGTAAGGGAGCAATAATACAATACATAAGAGAAGAAGAAAAGAAGTATAATAATATAATACAATCGGAGGTAGAAAAGAAACTCATCTATATAAACGGGGAACACGAACAAGCAAGAAATCAACTACGGGGAACTACCGTAAAAAAAGAATAATAAAAAAAGAAGGACGAGATGGGTCCTATTGTCGAATATAGATACCCCGTGGTGAGAGTGTCACGGGGATAAAATGACGCTTTAATAATACTGATTAAACTCAGTATTGTACACCTACCAGATGATTTTTTCGATGTCGTCGATCGAACATCGAAGGTGTCGCTTACTTCTATTACTTTTTTTTCAACTTTCTTTCCCTTTTTTTAGATTCACTATACCATATATTCCTCGAACGTCAACGAGAATTTGAGTGTCATGTTGTCGCTACCTCTATTATATCATACTATTCACGATATTGTAAAGGTTTATTCTCACCGACTGACTCCATTCAAATAATCGTTCAAATTGAACGATTTATTTAATTGTTCGGAAAATTATTATTATTATTATTATTATAAATAGTAATTTTTTAAATTGAATATAATTTTTGTTGAATACGATGTTATAAATATGAAATAATTTGATTTATTAAGTACTATAAAAATGTTCCAAAGGTTCACGGATTTGATTGGAATCTTATATTGGAATTAAATAAAAGTGAACAAATCGATGAACGTTTTTTGAAACACCTAATGAAATTAACGCTATAATTGATGAACACCTTCTCGATAACACTCTTTATTGGAACATTGAAAAGAAACTTGTTACGACGATCGTTTATAACTTAACATCTTAACACGTTGAAATCCGAGACCCTAATTAACAACGACCTCCACTATAATTTGTCTATTCGCGAGGCATCAATAAAAAAAAAAAATAAAAATATAAATATAAAAAATAGACCAATGAATGTTAAAGACATTAATTAGACATAACCTCTAACACAGCACATATGATTAATATAAATATACACTTTATCGCGTAAATTAATGAATTTCTTTTGACGATAATACACGATGCGTATTTAAAAAATAAACGGGAGTCGGGGGAGGGTGGGGAGAGTAGTTTGAAAAAAGAAATGAAAATAAAAAAATTCATTAGGATCGGTCTACACCTCCTCGTTACGTTAGTTCCTGAAAGTCTATATTTGCTGTATCTAAAAAGAACGATGGAAATTAGATTCGCCGCCCTTCAATTCCAAGAATTAAAAACCATTTGTAGTGCGCGCGGGACAAGCGCGAGATCGCGAAGACAAAGATGGCGTCGAACAATTTTTTTACGACGGAACAAGTTTCGTGTCCTCTTCAAGTAGATATATATTCCTCTACCGGGTGGCACGCCTCATTCCGTATAAGCGCCGATCGCGGTAAATTTATGGTAATTGCCTTTTCTACCTGTCAGAGACGTTCTTTCTTCTCTTTCTCTCTCTCTCTCTCTCTCTCTCTTCTTCTCTTCCTTTTCCTGTACCTCTCACTCTGTTTCTCTTCCTTCGTACTCTCTAGCTTATCTCCGCGTTACTTTCATTAAAGAACTGACCTCGTAAGAAGAGAGTTCGGAAAGCAGGATGCCATTATCATCGACCTAACATCGATAAAACCGTAAATTGGATTCTCACGATACATACAAAACAAGGTGCTACTTTAAAGGGGTAGAAGAATAAGAAGAAGAATAAGAAGAAGAATAAGAAGGAGTCAGAGATCGTTGGATCAAATGTCAACAAGAAATGAAAAGAATTCATTGACTAAGAAAAATAATCTAACTGATTAGGCCCCGCTCATTATTTGCTTTCTTCATTTTTAATACTAGGAAGAATACGAGAAAGCGATAAGAGTCCGATAAAAAAGATTTACGAAAAAATAGCACATTGCTAAATCTAACATAAGTGTGAGGAAACATTTACGTAATTACAGAGAACATATTTATATTATCGATTATGCTTAATAATAACATACCATTATTGTGTAACAATAAGCGTCACTGATTTCGTTTGAGGACAAATTAATAAAATAGAGAGAGAGGAAGAGAGAAAAATAAATGATAACATMCCAGCCGTAAATCTGTGAGGAAAAATCCTGCCATGTCTTGATAGTAGCCAAGGATATAGAGGATAACTATCTCTTGCTGGTTGATGAGAATGAGGTGGAGGATGTGGTCCAGCCGGTGCGCCACCGTGCGGATAAGGTCCATGAGGTGTAGCATGAGGAGATGCACCGTGATGCGCTTGAAGAGCAACAGCAAGATTTGCCGCTTGGAAGTGCTGAGCGGCAGCAAGATTGGCAGCAAGCGCTAATTGTTGGGAATGATATTCGTTTTGGCCGGTCTGAGGTGCCGTCGGTCCGTGTCCAGGTGGTATTCCGTAAAGAGACTTTAGTTGTTCGGCTGCGACGGCTGCTGCAGCTGTAACGGCACCAGGCGGTGGTGCTAGGTAGTTTGGACTCGGCCTTACAACGCCAGGAGGTGGCTGAGGATGAGAGCTTACAGGTGAATCACCGTGTCCGGGTATCCTATGAGGTGGACTCGGACTATCGTTCGGAGTGGAGCCACCGCTATGACTTAGAACGGTACTCTTACCGAAATCTAATTGATTGCTGCCACCGAGATGGTGATGATGATGATGGTGGTGATGTCCGTGATGATTCGCGTGATGGTGGTGGTGATGATGATGGTGATGATTATTATTATTATTATTATTATTATTATTATTATTATTATTCCCGGTGGTCGCGTGGGATGGTGTCCTTCGCGGATTATTCGTGTAGGATTCTACGGAGGAACTACGTGATACAGGTCGATCGGAACCTTCGGAATGAGCACCGGGTGATCTAGTTGCGATGCCACGTGACTTCGGCGACGAGGAGGCCTCGACGAGTTCCATCGGACTACCGGCATCTCGTTCGATTTCAACTCGAGGATCCAAACGATCTTTCCCAGTAATTCGATCTTCGATGACTCGGCCAGCCTGTACACCAGGACCGCCGCCGGTACCGGCACCACCACCACCTCCACCACCTCCGCCACCGACGATCGAGTCGATGCTGAAGCCGATCTTTGGCTTCGAGGGTACCGGAACGATTGGCGTCGGCGCGAGCGGCATCATCGTACGATTATCGTACGGCTCGCCGAAGAATTCCCCACTTTTGCTTAGACCTAACGACAATTATCTCCTCTTCGCTCCAATTGGATCCTCGAAATTAAATCTGCTGCATTTTTTATTATTATTGAAACGCGCGTGATCGAATCTCGTTCGAGTCTCGTGTACATTCGCGAACCGGAAATTCAAAAATAATTTGAAAAAAAAAAGAAAGAGAGAAAAAGAATGAGAGAGAGAGAGAGAGAGAGAGAGAGAGAGACAGACAAACAGAGAGAAAAAAAAAAGAAAGGAAAAGAAATTCAAAGGGATCCTTTCTTAGGGTAAATTTCTAGGTAAGATTCCCGCAGCGAGGCCTAACGGCTCTCCTTTAAAATTTCCAAGTCATCTCCGAAACACATTCGTCCGTACACAGCGCGTCGCACACTGAAATCTAAATCACAGCAAAGTCGCCTCCAGCTTCGCTTATATATATATATTCTCCCTTTTGTTTTAATCTTTATTTATAACGTTTAAGCATTCCAGGTTACACTGAACGAACAGGGTCTGTCACTGCACACTGTCACAATTACAGGGGGTAGGAGGGGGGTCGCGCACGAGCCCACCAAACTCGTAGATTATTCGCGAACGTTTTAACGAATATTATTGTGATTAATAAATAAAATGATTGGTCACTTGGAATGAAGCCTCGAATAGGAAAGTCGACATTTTATATTTTTATTTGCAAATGCGCGTGTTAAACACCGTCGGTAGGATTTTCCTGTTTCTCTCTTTCTTTCTCTGCTCGTCGTTCTCTGACGGATGATGCTTCTGGCACGAGAGCTTGCTAGTGTTTGAGCAAATTACAGGCTAAACGAGGCGCTCCCGCTCGGTGGTGGGGGAACGCGTAGCAAGTTAACGCGTATCCCCACTTTTCTACTCTTGCTCCTTACTCCAGTGCCCTTAGTGGGGAAGAACAGCAACCGCGAATGGGCGTTACTATATCATACCCAGGCCGTTGTTGAGGCGTACCCTTGCTACAACCTGATTGGTCCGTTGTGCAACCTTCGAACCGAAGCTACCTCGATTTCTCGCCCGCTACGTGGATGCTGCGACGAGTGGGGCAACGCATTTAGTCGACGATGGGCGTTAAACTCACGTTTTTGTCCTACGATGAAAATGAGCCGTTTAATTAATACGTCTGCCTCCGTCTCTCTCTCTCTCTCTCTCTCTATCTCTTTTATACCCTCTTACTCTTACTCTTACTCTATGCTTTCTCTTCTCTCACAGTTGGCTTCCATTTCTTGGCCTTTTTTCTCCTCTTTCTTTTTTTCTTTTTTCTTCGACAAAGGGATGAACAAAATCGCACGTTTTTTCTTTCTCTATCTTTATCCTTTTAATTTTATTTCTTTCTCCGCCTTTTTGTTTTATTTTTTTGTTTTTTTAAAACTCAACCCTTCTTTTATACTATCTTCGAATAAGCGAACAGAAAATCACGTTTAAGCCGAATTCCCTTGGTAAGTATATAGTATGTTTGTCACCAGTAATAATTTACAAAAATGGAGATTATATTTTTATAATAATTATTTATTCTAAAACGAGAAAAATGAAATACCTTGAAATGCATTAACTGTTCAAAGATTTATATAAAAAAATTTCTAAGGACAACTACTTACGAAACTCTTTTGTAAAGCGTCATTTTCTTAAGTATTTCACTGTAATTTCAATAAATGGCTAACGAATTCTATTACTCTTGCGCAAAAGGATAAAATTATATCAAATTTTAATATTACAGAAGAGTGATCGAGACTGGTCGTTATTTGGTTGGTGCCTTATTAGCACTTGTCAGTCGTATTGTAAATTGGCCTTTGCGAATTACTCGACTCGAACAAAAAGTGTTCTTATATTATATTTTTTTTTTGCCTTCTTTCTTCTTCTTCTTCTTCTTCTTCTTACCGTAGAATTACTTATATCGCACATTTCAAAAGCATTGACCGTCGTTGAAATTCCAGAACGAGCATAATATACTTACACAGTAATTGGCGGTGATATAGGTGCTCGAAACAAATCGGTGATAATTATCAAGAATGTAACGGTGAAACGATACGAAGCCCGTAATTCGATCGATGTAATTATATAATTAAGACGTTCGTACCGTCGGTCGTTCTATCACAATATGTACCAAACCTAGCGTAATATCTTAGAAACTAACTATGCAACTATATATATTGTATACCATATACCTACATATTAAATATTTAAATATCTCGTCAACGTAATCTTGCAGAAATTTAGATCAATAATAAAGTGTTACAACATAACGGATACTTTGCATTAAAATGATAAATATCTGCACTTAACGTTATCGCGTTAAATTTATATTCATTTTCGCTAATAAAAATGATCAAATGGATCTAAAATATCACCTACGAGTTAATAACATTAGTTAATCTAATAATACTCGATCGAAACCAATTTTCATTTCCAATGAAACTGAATGATTATTGAATGGATATGCATTTCTTTCTCAATTTAACATATTAGTTAGTATACTGAATGTACAAAATATTTTTTTTTAATCGAAGATTACAGATTAAGAAAAGACAAGACATTTTTTCGGACTATTAACTTTTGAAATTTTTATGATATTGAAAAATAAGTGTTAGAGTTGTGTCTGAATTGCGTCAGACAAATGCAGATTAAATCCACATATTTAATATCGAAAATATTACAAAAATATGGCACGTCAAAGACAGTCTTCTAACATTTGAGAAACGAGAGAAGACTATACCAATATATATTGCAAAATTTTATCCTTAAGAATAAACTCAAATAATCAACCACGATTTCACATGCATTTTTAACATATTCCACAATTATTCTCATGACTATAACACAAACAATACCGAAATATCTAATTGCATCAAAAATCTCCCTCATCATGAATTATCTTATTTTCCCAATAAAATAAACATACCATACGAACAAAATTCCCATATAATAATACATCATACTATTTAAAAAATGTCGAGCCTAACATAGGAACAATATTATTTCGAACAAATGCACAATTAAAGTTTTCTTCTTCTTTTTCTTATTATTCAAGCTCAGAACTTTTCAACCCACCCAAGTGATATTACCTATATATAATACTAATTCGGCAAAATAAAAAAAGGAAAAAAAAAAAATAAAGATGATAACATTTGGTTAAAAGTTATAAGACATTGGATTTGATGATACACACTTAGCACACGTATGAGAACGTTTTTCCTAATCTAATTCCCCGAAGGTGTCGCGGCGTTCATTTGGACTCGATGGAGGAGGCTCGGCTTCTTTCCCCCTTCCCTCATTCGCACGCGAACGAGAGAGCCCTACCCTTTCCACGCAAGAAACCAGCCCACATGGCGGAGCTGCTGAAGTTTGCTTTCTCGCCCTATACTACCGAGGAGGCTGCCTAGTCGGCACCGTCTCTCTCCAACGAGCGAGAAAGCAGGTGTGTTGGTGCCCTCGGCCACGTGTGTACTCGAAGAGGGGATGTTCAACATGGCGACTGTGTACACATAGCGCGCGATGCTGCACCAATGCGCGAGCACCGATCACGCCCGTTTCATTCTACCTATACTCTTCTTCTATTTTCTTCTTCCAACGGCTTCTTCCTTTACTTTTTTCTCATATCTTTTATCTCTCTCTCTCTCTCTCTCTCTCATTCTATCTATCTTTCTCTTACTTTCTTTCTTCGTCTCTCTCTCTCTTTCTTCCTTTCTTATTCCTTGTCTTTCAATACGTCTGAAAAACGTTTCCTGTACAGTTTCGTTTTATTCGAGATCACATTTGGCATCGGCACTTTTCGCATAAACGCTCGACGAATAAAAGAGGGTGAATCGGTGTATTTTGTACTATGTTATCAAAAGAACAACTCAGTCTACCACCCCTCATAATATATATATGTGTGTATACTTCTCAACACCATTTACAAAGTAACGTTCCATGTGACTAATCGACTGGGAATCATTTTTTTTTTTCGGAATAATGTCGTTAAGTTAGAACATAAAAAAGTTCTAACAAAAAGACCATTGAATTTGAAATAGAGGGATGCATTGTTCGACCACTGTATGAGAATACTTTTCGATATACTTTTTCCCAAAAAGAATATTTTTTTCTTTTTTTTTTTTTTTTTTGTATCCGATGAAAAAAAGAGAATGAGAAAAAGAGAGAGAGAGAGAGAGGAAAGTATGTATGCGTTCACATTATTTCGAGGTAAGGATTTTAACGAGACCGTTTGTTTGCGCCACGCGTCGATTTTAAATCGAAGCGTCGCGACGGTACGACGATTTAAAACGAGACGTGGTGAATCTTTCTAACGTTTCCTTCACAATTTTTATTCTATTGCCAACGCTGCTTCCTTTCGTTATATCAAACGCATATTCTATTTTTTTCTTTTTCTTTTCTCTTTTTTTTTTTGTTTCTTTGATATACGTACTCATTATAAATATTTCGTAAATAAACTATAATATTATTTTGTACGATTAATTATTTTAACGTCGATGTGAATATTTCACGTTAACCCTAACAATTTTGTGTGTGTGTTCATTCTATAGAATAATTATAAAATAAAAATAACGAATTGTATATAGAATAATGTGTGTCCACGTATATAACAAAAAAATTATTTTTTCAATAATATCTCTACGCTCATTTGCATATATTATGTATATATAATACACATTGAAAATTATATTTTTAATAATACAATAGATTTTTTTTCGAATAAACGCAAAATAGAAAACAAGAAGACGAATTTGTGAAAGAAAAGATGCAAACTATACACAATTGCAACTAAGGTTTTAATTAAAATATTCAAAATGGTAAGCATGGTCGTATATAAAGAGCATATAATATATATTTTATTTTTTCCCTTTCTTTTTTGATTATAATACCACGGCAAATTGAAAAGTGTTCGCATAGATCGTATTACTCAAAAAAATGGCGTGACACTTAATCAGCTCGTTTATTCACCGATCAACGAACAATCGTCGTAGTTTAAAAAAACGTGAAAACTTTTTTGTTCCTTCTAGACTCCCCTTTTTCTTGCTATATACTGTATATTACTTTCACAATGAATGCTGGGAGAGTTCGCTTCGGTGCGTATCGATTTCTGCGTTAAAATTATAATAAGCTCGTAATGCCGATATAATGGAAGCACGAGACTATTTTGGTGTCCCGTAGAGAAGGACTACAGTCGAAGAAAACTGGACACAGTCCTTTCATCTTTC